TTCAAAAATAAACTCACGCTCGTCATAACGTGGCATGAATTGTCCCGTTGTAACAGCATAACCTACAAGAAAGTTACAAAATCGTGAGAAGGCAGTGTGAAACTCAAGAGCTATATATCACATAATATCTTTGAAGGGCTGCATCGAGCTTCTCGGTCTAACACTAAACGACCAGATCGAAAAGGACTATGGATGGAAATTACAACAATATGACCATCATCAAAATAAGAAACATCAAGACAATTCTGTGGCGCATCGAATCTTATTATCCATGCGCATAACCTGAAGCCAAATTTGAGTATCCAGTCTTCATTGTTATCAAAGCTTACTAAGATTGATGCTTGTTATTTACCCGTAATCCTTTTCGGTCTAGTCGTACAGCACGATCAAAGCCGCTTAGCAAAGACATGTTTCTTACCCATGGAGTCACCAAAGTAGTCCATCTTTACATCCGATGACGAGGCAAATATTGTTTCCTCTGTATCAGGAAAATGAACCCCGACAGATCCTGCAATACGATTATATCAATGCGTCAGACCACTTACAACACACTTTGCAGTGGAATAATATTGATTAAGCCAGTTTCCACGTATAGCCTGAGTTTTATTCACTAGCGTTTACTCGTTTACTCGAACGAGAATAAACAGGATGCACGCAGGCAAATTTTCACGAACATCTTATGCAAATGCCAGTTGATGTTGAAAAATGCTTCACTGATATTAATTTACCATACTCGAGGGACACAGCAATTAGTTCTTCGCGCCCAGAATTCGAGGAACGCGCGACATTTTTCAGGTTCTCATCATTGAATTATCGACTATTACACCAGTTGTAGATCACTTCTTTATGCATAAAATGAGAAAATCAATACTGATCACAAAGAGTACACACCTCTCCCATAGTTTTTGCCAACAGCACTCAAAGCAAGCGTCTGACCATCGTTAAAGACTGAGGCGGCAAATCCTGCTTGACAAAASCCGTCTGACCGGTAACTGTACAGGAAATCTCTAGTATTATCTGATGGATAAAAGATAATGAATAATAAAATAAGACTGTGGACAAAGTTTAACATTGATCAGGTACATATTTCAGGATCATTTTATTAGTTTTAGAACGTTTGCAAAAGACTAAAACTGAAATCAGAAGTTTCGTTTYATCTTCACAACAAAACGTTTCTTYCATCCGCTGCACCCAAACAGARGGCATCGGTTTAAGCGCTTCATATTTGTGATTAAATWTYTGYTAAAATTGTCATTGTTARAGTTATATATGTCTGAGCTTCTCCGGTTAGTAGGATACTTTGTGTTTAATAAAGGTAACTCTAGATTCACGATAATCCGYGGTTTTRAACAACCAGGATGTGGTGTGCATAAATGAGGTCTTTTAAAAAGTTAACTTACAACTATGCCGGCACGGGTCRATATCTTGGTATGTCCCGCTTAGACTCTCCCAAACCAGAAAACATCGTCCAACCACCACTTGACGTCTGTCTTSAGGTAATCCTGTTTTAATGTGGCCTTGTAGAGAATACCGCGGTGCGCATGCCTAGAATAGACCAGCCCATGGTTACTGATAATGACAACGGTCTGCGKTGATSATGTTAAATGGGTYACTTACAACAACTTTTCCATTGTTTCCCGTGGTGTGTAATGTGGCTCCCAGCCACTGACCAGTTTTCTCTTCGATATTTATAGGTTTGTCCTCGTACATTTCATATTGGGGATCTATTACACCAAGAATAACTATCAAATAATCATATCCCTAATTCCTAATAAATAACCTATTTCGTAAACCTTATTTTTAGATAAACTAATGCGGATAAAATTGTGTTGTCCATGGTGTGGTTCAGTTATGACACGTATTTCG